TTGTCCCCCCACATTGATATTGCTGGAATATTGCTAAAAACTGCGTAAAACCGTACTCAGTCAGTCATTTTAGTCCCCTGTAAAACCCGGTCTTCGCTCTATGTATATCTGTACTTTGTAGAGGGTCATCATAAAGTCTGCAGAAAATAACCATAATTACTAGATATTTTTAAAATTTTAACAACATGAAATTAAATTGGTTTTTTTTTTTTTTTAACATGTTGCTCAAACAGCGCAGCTATGAAATGTCTTGGTTCAATGCTGATCTTTAGAAACATTGGACACATTAATTCTGCACTTGACTTAATAACTACTGTTCTTGAATCCAGTCTGGAAGTATGCTATAGTTATATAATCAAAATGGTATAACCATCATATAGTCTTTCATACAGACCCTGAAACAAATATACCTAATGCAGCCCATGCAAGTCTAGAATGTGTGGCAAGTAGTGGTGTAACGATTCATCGATAGTATCGATGTTTGCATCGTCAACTACGCTGATATGAGTGCATTGATTCAAAACATATTCAGGCGATATATCAGGATATTTATATCGCAAGGGTCCATAATACATCGATGTATCGCCACAAGGGACGAGATATATCCCGATACTACTTAAATACTATAAAATACCTAAAGTTGTAAGGAGTATTACATTAGGATTAGGAGGGAGTCTCTCTTGAAATACTTTCTGAATTTTAAAACAAACTGAACCTTATAGGAATTTATAGAACAAACTTTATGGATAACAACTTCTTTTATTCTTGAGTCGGCGTTTCAATACAGATTCTTGTAACCGTTGTCAGGCATGTCAAAATTTAGAAAGCATACTTAAAGAGTTTTTTCAGTGATTCTGGTATACATTACATGAATTGTCTGTGAAAGCATTTGTGCAGAAACACAACTTTCAAAGGGAAACCTAGGATCAAGGTATACTGAATATGTTTGATTGTACTTTTTCAGCATTAAATGCTGAAACTTTATTACATGGGCAGCATTTTAAGTGTGTGTGAATGTAACACAATTCTCCTGTATAACAAATAAAGATTCAGTCATTTTATCTGTCATATATGTCCTGTTTTAGAATTGTAAAGTATCGGGATCGTGTGAAACCACCATTATTATCATTGATTATAATGGAAGTACAAACCCACTGGTTCCTTTGGAAATATTTCTTCTGATATGTCGCTCCAAAGCTCCAGATTAAACTGGTATCATGATGTGTCGCTCCTCGCCACTCTTACCGTATACACAGCTCATAGTGGCAAGTGGAGATTAGTGTACTGAGAATTTTGAAAAGTACTGATAATTGATGATTGGTTCATTACGAGTCAATCATCGAGAAAATAATTGTGGTTTTGTCATTTATGACGATTCATCGATCACTATTTCCAACCATGAATTGTTATTTGAAGATTTAATGGCAAAAATAACTAAAGGCGACTAGTATGAAGCATAAATTTCTTGGAATCCGACTGGATATAAATTAGGAACAGTGTAGTGCTGTAAAATATAACATCTAAAACCAACCATGTAGAAAATATCGTTGCATGGAAAACAAGTGTTCCCTACATTGTTTTTGTTTGATTATGTCAAATTATGATGTTTGGTAAAAATTAGTTTATCGATCAATCTTGATTAGATTTCCATTTCGGACCACCACTAGTCTAGATTAGCACTGTTTCTGAAAATAAAGAAAGTGTTCTGGGCTCATTTTATTGTATTTTTTAACATAATTTTTCCTTGTAAACAAAGAGATTCAGAGACAAGATGTTAGTCTGAATCATCGCGGAAAATATGGTACAACAATTTTACTTGTCATTGTCGTGGATGGAAGTACAAACCACTGGTTTCTGGAAATGGATAGCTTCTGTCACATGTCCAGGAATGCATCTAGGCTCCCTAATTCTTAATTTGGGAGAAAGTGGTTATATTGCTCAAAGTTCTTGTTCTTTTAAGATGAGACGTATTTCAGTATTGCATTCAAACTCTAAGCTGTGTGAAACTAAGAACTGGAGCTTCCATCTTTAGTATGGTCAGTGATATGTATGTCATCCCAACAAACTGTGTGTTAACTGGGTAACATGAACTTGGAAGTTGGTAATTCCAGTGTGGAAATATTTACTGACATTTGCTTCTGACTGTTGTGCAAATGTCGGGGAAGGGGAGCTGTTTACAATCAGGCGAAGTGAAAAATACACATTGTTTTATTCCCTCACCAGCAGCAGTACTAATCTTGAAGTTGAAAGAAGAGGTTTTCGTCACATAAAAATTGAAGGAAGCAATTAGCATGTTCATCTGTCCATCCACTTGTAAGCAGGGGGGTAGAGCAGTAAAATGTTTCATCTTGAAACTTTCTATACAGATCAGGGCGGTGGTGTAGCCTAGTGGTTAAAGTATCCACTCATCAAGCCAAAGAACCGGGTTCGATTCCCCACATTGGTACAATGTGTGAAGCCCATTTCTGGTGTATTAGCTCAATCACTCTATACAGATCAGTCTTGTGATGATCATCTGATATTATAAAAATACGGAATATCATTATCTTTACTGAACTGAAGATCTTCACTATCAGTGAACCAAAGTGTAACTAGCTAAACTCCTTTTCGGAATTGTCCAGACCAGGGGATATGTCATTTCCTGATAACTCTGGGCGGTGGGGTAAAGGGTCAACTTGTCACGCCGAAGACCCGGGTTGATTCCGCACATGGGTACAATGTGTGAAGCCCATTTCTGGTGTACTCACTCACTCACTCACTCACTCACTTACTCACTCCTGATAACTCTTGCTTATATACAGAACAAATTTGTTTTCATCCAACTGAAAAATAAATATATTAAACATTTAACGTAACATGCTTTGAACATTTGAATGAAAGTCTGAAGTGCACAACAGTGTGAAAGGGTTCCAATTTAGTCAACAGTATATGCATAATTGCATAAGAGATTGGAAAATCATGTTCTCGATCGCTTTGGGTGATATTGATGCAGTTCGATAAAGTACATGATCAGGTTGACATATTGAAATCAATACAGTATCTGCTTCCCTGCCTCTCTGCAGGTAGAAACTCATTACAACATTGCAGACAGGTATTGTTCACAGGTAATAAAGTGCAGAAAATAAATGGGCCGTTTTTTGCATTAACGACTCGACGTCCTTGATGGGATATGCATGAAAGCAGCTTTATTGATGAAAGCCAGGCAGCAGAACCAGTATAATTATGGGTGATTGTAATGAATAAATGTGTTCTAAAAATTAAATTAAAAAAGGTTACTTGTGCATTAGCATCATATATATTCCTTTATGGATATTTTAATGAAAATAGACTGCTCCGGTTGAAATGCATTTTTACTCAACTGGTGTTCAGAATGTCACCAAACCTGCTAAGTTTAAAAATCAAATGTAGATCAGGGGTGGAAATAACCCATTGCCCGACGCCCGAGTCCAGTGTTTTTTTCTGTCGGCCAAGCAAATTTGTATATCACACTGTACCTGTGTCCAGTTGACTTTCCAATGTTAATTATGTTCTTTATGTAAAAAAATCAACAAGAAAACAGCTGGTATAGTGGAAAAATTATCAGGGCAAGTGATTTTACATGTGCCTCTGTACCGGAGTACACTAGCAATTTTAAAGTTATTTCCACCCCTGTAGATGATGTACATGTTCCAGTTGATTGTAAGTCTTTGTGTGACAATACTATACATGATACTTATTTCTGGATTGATCAATTATAATACACTTTCAAATTAGTTACTACTTGTTTTACTGACCCCACTCCCTAGTGTTTCGTCTGTCAAATGTCACAACATGAAATTTAATGAGTGTTTGGAGTTTATTACTAAACTAGCAGATGGTACAGTCTAACCTAGAATGTCATGTTCAGAGATTATTCTAGACTAATATTAACTCTGAGTCCCTGAATATTTATATAATTGTGATAGTAACAAATAAACACATTTGTATTGATGTATTGATTGATTGTATTGATGGTGATGTTTGCACAATGTTTGATGACGAGGATGTGTTGTGTATGATGCTTTTGTACTACAACAACAACAAATGTACTTTGGGAAATAAAAATTTTAAAAAAAATAAATAAATAAATAAACACATTTGAATTGAAAAGGAGCCCCAGTGAGTTGGGACATTCTCTGAATAAACAATGTTGATCAAAACAAGCAATTCCTTTTTAATTGAAAACGACATTGAGAAATGAGATTCAGAACCTGAACCTGAGGAAATCTAGACTTGCTTCATTTAGTGCTTTAGCATTGCAGGGAGGGCTGGACAATAGGGAAAATAATGTGCTTCGGGGACTGTGAGACAGACTAAGATTATTCTTCCATGGACTTTTCAAAATGGGAAATTCTTCAGACATGTTATGAAAAAATCGAAGATCAGTGTTATGAAATAGTGATAGTTTGTGGTTTTATTTTCTCAAAAGCAAAAAGCTCAATTAAACTTGGTATTCCTTCTCAGGTATAGGTCTGTGATTTGAAAATGTTTTTGTCAAGATTAGTGAAACGTGAAGGTCAGTTTTCAACTTTTTTTTGGTTATTTATACAAGTTTTGTTGCTTTTATCTACAAATATACAGGCATGGAAATATGGTATTTGTTGCTTTAATCTCTATGAATCCCAACAAATCTAATGTTGGTGATATGTCTTAGTTGAGGTCAAGGTCAACATACACACGCATTTTTATGTGAAATGTATAACCTTTATTGCCAGTTACTGTTACACTTTAACGTGGATAATTGATGGATTGTTTGAAGTTTTATTGAGTAAGGTCAACTGGAAATACTTGATGGTTCATAAAGACTTGGAGGAAATGGAGATTTTCCTTGATGGTTCATAAAACTTAAACACTTAAAATTTTCTTTTTCTTAAATAAACACTTAAAGTTTCATGAAAACTTTGAAAGACAGTGGTGAAGGTATGTTGAAGTACACCATATGCAGTACGTCTGTGTTGACACTCTGTTCTGCTCTGTTTCAGTTTCTGTAAATGGGGTTCCCCTAAAGGGCCACCCTGTGCAGATTGTCGTTGCCTCAGATGACCACACATTTGAGCTTGATGAAGAGAAGCTGGAGAGCATCCTCCTGCATCCCTCCATAAGGGATAAGAAGGCGGTGGTCGTGTCAGTTGCAGGTGCTTTTCGCAAGGGAAAATCTTTTCTCCTGGACTTTTTCCTGCGCTACCTCAATGCTGATGTAAGTATGATTCTATTCTTCTTTCATCATGTTTCAGGGGCGGTGGGGTAGTCTAGTGGTTAAAGCGTTCGCTCGTCATGCTCAGAGATGCCAACCCATACGATTTTATCGTATTTGTTACGAAAAAACTAAACAAAATACACTAGTACGATAGCAGTAAAAATATATGATCTTTTAATAACATACATTAAATTAAATTATCAAATAGCATATGTACCATACACAATAAATTTCAACCACATTTTATTCAGTATCAAGCTATGTGTGGATACTTAATACTGATTTAGGCGAGTACACTGTTAATAACAAGCTCTTAGAATATCTATATATATTTTTTATTAAATATGAAAACCTTTAGGAAAAGTTAATACTAATTTTGGCCAGAAAGTACTAAGTTTTGCATCAGTTTTTGGCCAGAATACTAATTGGGCTAAATTAGGGTTGGCATCTCTGCATGCTGAAAGCCCGGGTTCGATTCCACACATGGATACAATGTGTTTCTTGTGTCCCCTGCCGTGATATTGCTGGCATATTGCTAAAATCCAACTCACTCACTCACTCTTAGCATGCTAGAACCCTGTGATGATGGGTTTGAATCTTTAGTCCCAGATTTGCCCAGATTATGACTCTTGGTTTGTCAGTGACATACATATGGTTGTGGGTTGTCTCCCTTCGAGGTTTTCTTCCCAGTCAAAGTAATTAAGTTGACAAGCCAACTGATGACTGAAAGGCTAATACTGCTCATATAAGGGGTTGACCCAAAGTCTCTCACTTCTTTCTGTTGGATGCTTCGCAGTAAGAAAGGCAACTGAAGGCAACTTGTAAAAGTAACAGAAAACAAAGAAAAAGGGAGTGTATGCAGTGTTCGAAATACCCACTGGCCCGCCAGCCCGTGGCTAGTAAAAATCCAGTCAGGCCAGTAAATTTCCACAGTCACTGGCCCGAATGGCTGGTGAATTTTCATGGGGTCATTTTGTAAATACATGTATATCACTCTCTCCAACTTGTTAAGTTATAATACACTTTTAAATCATGCAAGATTATGGCCTGATAATAATGGTCATCATATTAGCACCGTAATGATAAAACCCATGTCTACATTCAGTAGCCAGTGAATAATTTTGTGGGCTAGTAACTTTCAGGCGTATCTAGCCTGTCTGGCTAGCAAAATTTGGAAACTATTTCGCACACTGAGTGTATGCATGGCTGATTTAATAAATATGCAAAATATAAGATGTATTTAAAAGAATAAGAATCATGCTTTGTTCTTCAACATTTGTATTGGTGGACAAAACATAGAGGTAAGGCCATTCCACATCAAAAGGGCTGGTTCATGACAAATGAGAATGCTTTATGAAGTGTATTTTATATATTTATTCATAAATGCACTCTAAACTAAGCTGTTATGATTTTTTAGATGTAAGTGGGTTGTTTTTTTACTCTGGACAAAAACTAAATCAATGTAAACATATATTTACATGGTTGTTCTGGTGGTGTTGTTTATATTTTTCAAGAAAATATTTTCTCCTCAGCTTTCAAAGAAAGAAAACTTTATTTGATTCAGATAAATATAGGCTTGCCATGGCATTCATATGAGAAAAATACATAAATTCCATATTTATGGAGCAGGGGAACTTTTTACCATGTATAAATGCCTTCTTGCAAATACTTTCATGTTAAAATTTTTAAAAGCAAGGTTTATGAGAATTGTATACAGTTTACATTGTAATTTTGGCAAAAATCCTTGTCTCACATGTTTTTCTGCATTCAGATGGAGACATGTATTTCCATTACTTGATGACATAACTATATGCATGTCTGTGCCACAGCTGGTAATAATAATCCACAGCTGTGCTGGAGACTATTGCCTTTTACTTCCCTATTCACAATATTGATAAACAGGGTTTTTTTATGTGTTGTTTATGCAGGTGTTACTGCGTAGTTGATGGTTGGAAATCAGTTTGAGAATATTCTGCTCACTGTCCATATCAAATGCACAATAAAACATGTTCTTTTCCCTGGTGTTCTATTTCAAAGCCAAAGGTAATTCGTAATAAATCCTTTATCATAATAATATTTCATTTCTGACATTTTCAATTTATATTCAGAAATTTTCTCTTTTTGAATGGTTTAATGTGGTTTCACCATGCTGGCTACAACTCCGGTTTCACATTTGCTGTTATTTGTGGAAAAAAAATATCCATGCTCGCTGATTAATAACTTTCTTAATTCTGTATGTGCAATGATAAGCAGTGCAAGATTATTCAAAGGTAGACATTAAACTTCATGTTTTTTGTGATTTTATGTTAAAAATAGATATCTTGATTATGTTGAATATTGTTCAGTAATTTAAATGTTATTGATGAGTGAATTACCATCTTACAGACCATTTCTGGTGTCCCCCGCCGTGATGTTGCTGGAATATTGCTAAAAGCGGCGTAAAACAAACTCAGTCAGTCTTACAGACCAGGGTACCATTGTACAAAACAACCTTAGCACTAAGACTCTGGTGAGCCTATGTTTAGGTACGGGAGTTACAATCATCTTAGCCCTAAGGTTGTTTTGTACAGCGGTACCCTGAAAGATAAACTTTAGCCATAATGGCAATGTTGGAAATCGAGAGTGAAGGTCAGGAGGTCCAGGTTTACTGTAATGTTCACAGAGAGAGAGAGAGAGTTATTAAAATGGACTCCGTCCGTGCGTGCATCCGTCCGTGCACATTTGTCTTTTCCGGAGCAGAACTTTAAACCGTTCAATATTTCTTCACCAAACTTTGCACATGGATAGACCTGGTGGTGTACTAGTGCCTTTTGGTAGTTTTGGAATTCTGAATTAAATACTTTGGCATTTCCATGGCAACAAATTTGACTAGACCGAAATTGGTGGTAGTGCTCTTTTCCGTAGCAGAACTCTGAAATCACTCACTATTTCTTCATCACACTTGGCACATAGATTGGTCCGGTGGTGTGCTGGTGCCTTTTAGTAGTTTTGGATTTCTGAATAAAATATCTTTGCATTTCCATGCCAACAAGTTTGACTTAGACTGAAACTGGTGATAGTGCTCCTTTCTGGAGCAGAACTTTTAAAACCTTTCAATACTCTACTTTCACTTTTCTATATACACCAAAACATTTGACATAATCATGACTCGTAGACATATTCATGAAGGATATTTTGCCATTGTGGGGGATATTGATGACTTTGTCTTCTTGTTTAGTTTACAGACTATGTTGAAGTTGGTATGTTGAAAAACAAATGAAGGTAATATGCACTGAACTGGATTTTTTGTAATAACTGTACTAATAGGTGATGATAAAACGTTAAGCTTTTAGCATGTCGTGTGATTATGAACAGAACTGGAGTGATATCAAATGATGGAGCCGTGACTTAATGTACTGGCATGGTACTGCATGGCATTATGATGAGGCTTTGTTATGTAGTGTTCCCCGGACTGGCTTGGTGATGATGACTCTCCACTGGAAGGCTTCTCGTGGCGGGGAGGATCCGAGCGAGATACCACTGGAATCCTCCTGTGGAGTGAACCTTTCATCTGCCATATCCCGAGTGGAGAGGAAGTAAGTTGATCATATCAGTGTTAAGTATATATGGGCTGACTTACATGGTGTTGTGGAGGTTGTCCTGCCATTGTGTTTACATATTTAGTTTTTAGACAATATCTATAAACAAAAAGCCAGTTTTTGCCAAATTTGGTTTAACTTGTAGACATTTCATTAGCAGATCAAGTTAGTTCAGTCCAACAAGGGAGGATTAGTATATTAGCAGGGGTTCAAAAATCCCATCGCCACGACGCCCGGGACACGTCAGTTTTCATTTCGGGCAATCAAATAATGGTATCTTACTTGTCCGTGGGCTACTAGATAATTTCCACTTATGGTTTCAAACTGCAAATAAACTTTGATTTAATTTCATATCTGCTCAAAATGTAGCTATTAAATTTCGCAATGATAATAAAGTAGAGTTATCTTTCTTTGCTATTTATCACTTTTCAATAAATAGTCCAGTAAACATTAACATCAAATACCATGTTGATTTCTTCTTTCATAATTACATCATCATAATTATGTCATTAAAAATATCAGGGCAAGTGGAAAATTAGTCGTGGCAAGTGGCTTTTTAAAAAAAAATTGAATCCCTGATTAGATATTAGCAGTAGTGAAGGAAAGAGGAAACTTTCTGTATATAAGAAAAGAGGACATAAGTACATGAAAGAAGCACAAACTATTGGTACCAATCAAATTGTGGGGGGTACTTTTCATTCATTATGATTTACAGGTGGCTGTCATCTTGATGGACACCCAGGGTGCGTTTGACAGCGAGTCCACCGTGCGTGACTGTGCAACAGTGTTTGCCCTCAGCACAATGATCAGTTCCGTGCAGGTAAGCTGAACGTTCATAACTCTGGACTGTTTGTCCTTTAAATTTGTAATGGGAGCTCTGATGCTTGACTTTACCGCTACGGTAATAAACACTAAACAAGATGTTTCTTTCTCATCTCAATACAATGGACATAGTCATAGATAGGTAAATGTAGAACTTTGCTATTTATCTTAATATTGATGAAATGATAGAAACCATTAACTCCTTACAAGGTGTAGAAAAAAGTTGTCATTAATTATTTAGTATTCTTTATTTGGAATACTCATTCAGCTTGAATGTCACTAAATGGAGCATCAGCAGCATTCAGTCAACTTGAGGCTTTCATTGTGAATGTCTGTATATCCATTCTTCAACTAACATTCATCTGTCTTTGTTTTCGTCTTGAATAATCTATAATGGAAGGTAGTTGTGTTCTGATGGTTGTGTGGTGGTGACCAAGCTGTAGTACAATGCCGTCTGGTAATTCCGCGCACCTAAGCACATCGATCGCAACACGGCAACTAACGTCTCTTATTGTTTGTGGTTTACGTGACTAAACATGCTGGTATGCATCATATTTACCTAGAAATATAAGTTTTATTGACGACCACAAGATTCTAACGTTGCATTATGCCATACGGTTGACCTTACCAGCGTTCTGACAACATCACTTGCTGTCCGGTAATTCTGCACAGAAACTGATGCACATAACATCCAGCTGGAAGCGTATTACGGCCAGATTGTTTTTAAAAATCACTTCATCAATATAAGGAAGAGTGTTTCATATTAAATCCAATTATGAATAACGAAGAAAAAGGTTTAAAAGTCTGAAGAAAACGAATTTTCATAAAACTGTCAATTTATCTGTCAATTACTGTTATTTACTTACCTTTAGTGATTAAAAGCCAGTCCCTTGTAGAAATGTCCCGATTTCAAGCGTAAATGTGGTAGCAGACGATGTTTACCTTCGATACGAAATACGCTATTGCAGCAGCGCAGAATTACCGGACGCACGGAATTACTGGACTCATTTGTATATTTACCTGAAACTGTACAATATGTGTGTTGTATTCCAGGTGTACAACTTAACACAGAACATACAGGAGGACGACCTGCAGCACCTACAGGTAACTACACAAAGCTGGCTACACTGTAAAGTAACATCTCTATAAACTATAAGTGATGGCAGAAACGTTCTCCACCTGACTAGGAGGCCTGTGTTGATTTAGATAGCTGCTTATTATTTTTTGACACTATCTCCTCAGCACACTGCTGCTAACAGGCATAATGCTTGCTTGACAGTTCTTGCTTCAAGTAAGGGTGTATACAGAAATCTAGTGCTGCCTACCTTTCAACTCTTGCAAAGGAAGAAGTACCATCCCCTAAAGTGGACACCATGTCATGGATAGCTGTTGGCCGTTTAAGTTGGATATACTTGATCAATGTGTGTCTCTTCTCATCAGCACAACTATTGCCACATTTCATCGTGGACTGTCACATTTCATCGTGGACTGCCACTGTTTCCAATAGGTAGATGGTGCTTGTGGAGCAAAGCAGTTTGTGAAAATATGTTGAGTTTTGAGACTGGGGTTCTATGCAAATCTACGTCATTGTGAAAATGGTGTTGTTTGTTTTCCAGCTGTTCACAGAATATGGAAGACTGGCTTTGGAAGCAAATGATAATGTGTCCAAACCATTCCAGGTAAGGTGACAATTTCCTCAGACCAGAGATATGTAACCAGGAACAAGAGAAAACTGTGATAATAACCACTGAACTGGGAACATAGTAATTGATAGTTAACAGGAAGATGTATCAAAACGAAGTCTATTCTTCGATGTGTGTACATATTTTTTGCTACTTTAGTAGCTGAGCCTTAAGTCTGTTTTGCTTGGTTTATATACGGATCTGCAATAGTTCAAAACTGAAATATAATACAGAATGACAACATTTCTGTATAAATCAGAAGGTAATGATCACTTAAGAAATATAAGTAACAATGAAATGCTAATTGCAGATTTTTTTAGTGATTATTGCAGATTTTAGATTCATGGTTTTAAAATTTATTTTAATCTTCTTATGTAACTGCTTATCAATCCAATGAAACTTTCAGATGATTATTGAAATTCTGTTCAGTGCATTCTTTACAAAGCAATCAACCTACTTATCAATTTTTTAAAAATTATTTTTAGCAAATTCCATAACAATCATGCATGCACATGATACCTGACGCAACACACACACATAACCACATAACTGACACAACTGCTTGAGAGAATAATGAAAGGTGCATATCGTATATTACCGCAGGTAAGCTGAATTTTGTTATGTTCTAGAATCTGCACTTCCTGGTGAGAGACTGGAGTTTCCCCTATGAAGCAACTTATGGTGAGGCAGGTGGAAAGAAGATCCTGGCCAGAAGGCTGCAGGTAAGTCAAGTTTACAGACTTGAGTCACGCTGAAAGATGTTGATTTGTTGCAGCAACAAAGTGACTACATAGTCAATAGCATGTAGGGATATTAATGTTCATACAGTTCAAAGTTGTCTTTTGATGTGTGTAACAGATAAATCGTCATAAAGGGATCTCCAGAAAATTGTCCTGAAAATGAAATTATCACTTCAGATAGTTATTCTTAATATCAGTTTTATGATGTATGCAGAGTTATGTCCCTTGACTCTACAGCTGTCATGGTCAATATGCTGACTATCTTTATATCAAGTTGGCATATTGGCGTATGAGTTATATTGCAATATATCCAACACACAGAGGCATATTTTAAGACATATTTCAGCCAAAAGTATCTTTGTTATATTACATTTGTACTATTTAAATGGTGAAGTAAGAACTATGTGACTGATGGTCTGGGTTAATCTTAAAATGATCATGTCAGCTAACTCACTCAGTAATACATACTGGATCATATGTGACAGGACAAATATACTACACTGTTACATCATCAACATGGAATGTAAACAGCACAAAGGATGTGTTATTTTAGCCTGCTGGTAGTAGATCATTCATCAGTGATACGACTTTCTCAAAATTTTGACACCAGGAAGATAATTAGTGCATTCTACACGAAACAGTATCTTTGTAACTCGTTCCATTTGTCATCAGATTTCCAACAAGCAGCATCCTGAACTGCAGCAGCTGCGTCAACACATCAGCTCCTGCTTTGAGTACATCTCCTGCTTCCTCATGCCACACCCAGGCCTCAAGGTGGCCACCAACCCACGCTTTGATGGACGACTCAAAGGTGCGTGTCATATTCCTGGATATAGGACTGTATGCAGGACAGAGTGAGTGAGTGAGTTAAGTTTTACGCCGCACTCAGCAATATTCCAGCTATATGGCGGCGGTCTGTAAATAATCGAGTCTGGACCAGACAATCCAGTGATCAACAGCATGAGCATCGATCTGCACAATTGGGAACCGATGAGATGTGACAACCAAGCCAGTGAGCCTGACCATCCGATCCCGTTAGGCGCCTCTTACGACAAGCATGGGTTGCTGAAGGTACATTCTAACCCGGACAGAGTGAACTCAGGGTAGAGGGAGACAGTTTGTGTAAAGGAGTAAGCCATGTATTATGGAATTAGGCTCATGAAGACTTATTTTACAATTCGCAGATATTGATAGTCTCATTTCTTTTATATAGGAACTAGATTTTTTGTTAATGTATCTTAATGAAATGTTCTTGAGGTTATATGACATTTTGACATTCCATGTCAGTCCGTTACTTACGTGAGTGACCACAGAACAAGCATACTGAGAACTGTGTCAACTAGCTGTAGGCTAAGCTAAGCAGATATTTGACTTGCGATATGATGGACTGCTTTGTGTTGCAGACATCGAGACAGAATTTAAGGAGCAACTGCAGATCCTCATTCCCCTCCTCCTGGCCAAGGACAATCTGATCATCAAGGAGATCAATGGCTGTCAGATAACCTGTAGGGACCTGGAGGAATACTTCAAGGTAACAACTAGGGACAGTCAGGAGTGAGTCATTGTTGAGGGAACTATATTCCAGCCTTTTCAAATCACTGTTAAAATTTCAATCTGTACCAAACGAACAAAAGACTGAGTTTCCACCCACAACATCGGCTTACAATGACACAGAAGCAACTGAACCACGCTCAATCTCTGTACTGATAGGCTTTAACAAGAACAAGATGCTTGGCACTTTACCGCCGTGAATTGTTCGAAGGGATGGTAACAGCTGGAAATAGAAAATTAACAAGTCATATGCGTTGTTGATTTTGCATGACAAAACCCTAATGGAGAAAAATAGTGAAGAATCTCTTTCGTGCAAGTGACAGTGAATATGACTTGTGTGTGGTAAGAAGCTGTGTACCCACAATGTTGTTGTTTTCCTACAGGCCTACATCAAGATCTACCAGGGAGAAGAACTACCAGAGCCCAAGTCCATGTTGCAGGTGAGTCAAGGGAGGTAACTCCTCTATGTTGGTGTCTGTTGAAGAGTTACAAGCAGATAGGCCTTGACATGTTCCAAACTCTCCTTAAAACCTTAGTAATGTATCTAGTTACAGTCAAAGCATCACAGTAATTTCCCCTGTTCGGATTTCAAGGAGACTAAGAAAAAATGCAGATTTAATGTAGTCATGTGTCTTAGTGATTAATGAGGATGACCTTTCGTGTGTGACATGATGAAAGAACAAACTTAAAGCAGAAAACTTTCATTCCAGCTTTCAAGATTTTGTCAGTGCAAGACATAGTAAACATTTTGAACATTCTGTTCATTAAGACTTGTGGTAGTGACACAATGTGGCTTGAACATCTTTATTCGAAGTGGTACAGACTGATCAGAATATGTTGCACTATATGGCTCTAACGATGTCATCCTGTTGTTCTGGTTGAATATTATTTTCAGGGATAATATATCCTGTTTCTTGTGGCAAGTCCCTGGTGGAACTCAACCCCAAGAAAATAATAGAATTTACACTCTAAGAAAGTGTAATCCCCAAGTGTAACATGTTTTACATTAGACCACTACTAAAAGACAATGTGCAGTCACAGCTTGTCATGGGTTCACAATTTTGGATTCACAAAATTGAATGTGCCTTGGTGGCTATTTGCACCCTATGTACGTGTCGATCTTGTTGATTCTTATGGTAATCGTTCTCTCCAGGCAACAGCAGAAGCTAACAACTTGTCTGCCGTGTCCCACGCCAAACTACAATACACCAGAGAAATGGAGGAAGTAAGTGCCGCCGTGTGTACTGAAAAGTTCTGGAAGGACTGCTTATGGCCATTATACTGATTTGAGACATCAGTGTAAACAAATGTTGTTCTTCTTTACTTATCATGAAATTGTAACTCATTATAATGTTTTCAAATTGGTTCAGAACTGTTGCATGTATGATTTTCTTTAAATTTTGGAAACCCCCCAAAAAAAATGGCTTTTTGAAGAATTAACCAAAGAAATTATTGTAAAATCAAAGATAAAATGGCTCCCTCTTATGTGCATTTTTGCTACAAACTTTCAACAAAAAATTTTTTCTGGGAGGGGTATGTTGATAAAGGGTATCTTTTGAAATGGTATTTCATCAAAATATGAGAAATGTGCAGTTTGATCCATTCTGAGACCCATGGGGTAAGAATTTAGATCTCCAGCACAATGGTTGTAAAGGGTGACTAAATAGATTGTATGACTTGATTGCATGTCATATCTCTACTTGATGTTCATGATGTCCCGCAATGGATTGTGTGGTCAAGACTTTAGTAGATGCAGACTTGTAGATGGCTTCTTGGAGGTAATATTGATTAGTGCAGCATCATAAAAGCAAACATCTGATAAAGAAGGTGTCTGTTTGTAGCTCATCGGTGGTGACAAACCCTACATGAACCCTGATCAATTGGAAAGAGAGCACTGTCAGTGTTTGGAGCGAGCGATGGACCTGTTCTCAAGCACCAAGAAGATGGGAGGGCCGGAGTTCAGCAGAATGTATGCAGACCAACTGAAGGAAGAACTGGAGGAATGTTTTGACAACTTCCAAAAACACAACGCAAGCAAGAACATTTTCAGTGCTGCCAGAACACCAGCAGTGTTGTTCACTGTGATGGTGGCGTCCTACTTGGTGGCTGGTATTCTGGGAGTTATTGGACTTGAGTCACTGGCCAACTTGTTGAATCTTGTGATGATTGGTTTTCTCGGTATCATGTGTGCATGGTTATATGTGCGTTATAGTGGAGAATACCGGGAAATCGGAGCATACATCGACCAGCTTGCAGATTTTATTTGGGAACATGTAAGTTCATCCATTTTCTTATTTGATTCAAGTCATTTTGTTATTTCTCATGGTACTTCATTTTGAATTTGATTTCCTTATCATCCATTCATTTGACAGTTTTTAAAGATCAGCTGTAATGAAATGATATTTTGTAATAATATCTTGTCACAAATTGACTTTTCATCTAAGTTTATTTTATATGACTATTTTGTCTGGCATGGACCAGGATAAAATGGCTTTGAAAAGTTCAGATATTGACTATGCGTAAAAGTATGAATTTTAAACAGTGAGGCAGCTTGAAAATGTGATTTTTTAGTTTTAACTTCTACCCCTGAGCTTTGAAATCAGTATTCAAGATGTAAGACAAATTTATCTGGTATGATGCGATAAGTACCTCATTGAACAAAGACTCATGTTTCCCCTCTGTTCCAGGCTTTATCCCAGGTGTATTCCAAAGCTGCAGAGCATGCCGCCCAACAGGCGGCCAAGCAGGCCACGCGGAAACTAAAGAAGAACTAGCAGTGCCATCTACTGGGCATTCTAGGTGTAGGCTCAAGATAGAGCTTGTGCGTTACTAGAAACCCCACAGTGCTAGATGAGGAAACAGTGGACTGTTAGTATCAAACAATGTGACAGATGTAACTTCGTCAAAACAGGTGCCCTCTCAGCTCTGTATCAGCCATAAGGCTAAATTCTCAGAGATGAATGAGTAGCCTATTAGAATTAAAGGGGAACTGATTTGTAGGCATGTCACTGGATGAGAGGATTCCATCATAGTTCCCACTCAAGGCAGGAATGGCTGTATTGTTGTATATTAGGTAATCAGGTGTGTGGAAATATCAAAATTTTAAACTTTTCTCTTGGCAAATGAAATGTAAATGTTCCTTTGTCCGGAGACAGTCCACTTGTCCAGGTTGTTAACTCAACACGATCAGGATTTTCTAACCACTAAACAGGCCTCTCACTGTCAATCTGATGAGTCAGTATTTTGTCCTAATGGCTTTTCCCACCATTTCCATGCCGTAATCAAACAAAAAAACATTTTTTTAACAACAAGCAAAACATTTTACAATGTGTTTAGCAATTGACTATTTGGTCCCCTTATGAAGCAGTGAGAGTGAGCTGTCATTTGGGTTGGTCATACTCACAATGTTTGCATTTTATCAAGCTATATTTAGTTCCTGGAAATATTTTATTAAAATTGATGCAAGCTCTGCTAAATTTTAAGGCTTTCTTTCTGATGGTCACATGCATTGATTTTCCACACCCTGGTAGTCCATAGTTTGTCAAGACAAGCTCCCCTTTAGGGTGGCACCTGGGGGGTTAATCTGTTCACATTACACATGTACAGATGGTTTAATTTATTCTCTGTTTACCCCCGACATTTCAAGTTATTTTGTATAATCACGGTTGTCATATCCTTCACCAGCCATATCGCTGTAGTAACATGTGAAACAGTTAAACACTAGTCACACAAACTGCGTTCTAAACTTCTTGAGATCAGAGAATTAGAATAGATCAGTAGCACAGAATGATTAAGGTAGCCAAAGAATGTAACAAGTGCTAGTTTTTGTATCCTGCATTCATGCCATGTTAATGAAAAGATGATCAGTCTATTCTGTTTGTGATGATATTGACGTTATACTCAGGAAATCCTAGTAACCTTCTCAGTAGTTCATATGTTCTGTACTAACCTAGAATCAATGAGTTCAATGACGATGAAACCCATAAAGCAAGGATGGTACAAATCTTATTGGTCCATTAGTTTCTCTATTCATAATATAGTTCAGATGGTTTGATACAGAGTACTCTCCCATGAAAATCTACAGCAGTAGTTATTGTATTGCTTGTACATACTGAATAGGGCAATAAGGTTGGTCTGTGGCGTACACATTCTGTATGCTATTTGCTGTATGCCTGTATGAATGATATGGTCAAGGTTGTAGATCTGTGAATTGTTCAGTCTTAGCCATGTTAAGATGATCTGGCTTTTTGAGCAAATTGTTTTGGAAGTGGCATCCACAGGAAATTGTAGATGACTTCTATCCTGTTTCATAGCTTTATAATGCATTTGTTGACTCCTAAGGACAGGAGTACCAGCCCCAACTGAGCATATATATCACACTTGGAAAGTTAATCCCTTTATTGGTGTCAGTTTTGTCCATATTTGTTTAATGATTACATCACCTTGTGTTCAACAATCACACAAAAGGCTTCCTATATCCATTTCATAGGGGCGGTGGGGTAGCCTAGTGGTTAAAGCGTTGGCTCGTCATGCCATAGACCCAGGTTCGAATCCCCACATGGGTACAATGTGTGAAGCCCATTTCTGTTGTCCCCCACCGTGATATTGCTGGAATATTGCTAAAAGCAGCGTAAAACCAAAATCAGTCAGTCAGTCAGTCCATTTCATAGAACGGGGAACAGTATGATACTAAATAACAGGAGTGGGTTTGAGTTTTTGAATTGTAAACTTTAGCCTTAAAAAATAGTAAAATGTAAAACAAGCCCTCAATAGTATGGACAGACTATTAAAAATAGCTACACTGGATAAAGTAGTTGATTTTCCGTGTCAATGTAGCTGCAATAGCCAAGTGTATGTATCCATATAGTGCCTTCCAACTGGATAAGTCATTGCTCATGTGTGCTGTAGAAGTTACCTCCCCTTTCTCTATCCTACTCCCAGCCTTCATTCATGTTCAGTGTTAATCAAGCATTCAGTGTTCAGTGTTTCACTAATGGTGCATATTAATGTGTTGTGTACATAAAATATTTAGTCCTATTTGGTGTTTGTAAATACACGAGTTAAAGGGTATAATAGTTTATACATGTACATTCAATTAGTGCTATTGTTACCAGCAGTGGATATACTCAGAGACAATGTATAGCCTGTTTATGTTTCGAGGCTTGTTTATGGCATCAAGGTGTAGTGCTGGGATTCAGCGTTGCAGAAGTAAGTCTTGATATTATCAATCAACACTTAGAATTGTTGCTTTCATCAAAAAGGTGGCATGTATTTGCGAGTTTCTTTTGAAAAACCTATTAAAACTTTACTGTTGATCATGAAGGGAAAGTTAGACCCATGTACATACTTGTAAATATTTGATAATCAAAATGTTTTGTACAGTACTGCCGACAATTGTCAGGTTATGTGTGACCGTTCCAGCACATGCCTGCTTCAATTGGTGATGGATGTAACGAATCGAATCCTGGGTTTGTAGGTTATTTATTGTAGTCCGGTGGAGAGTAATGCTTGTTACAATTATGCTGGATAATGACATTTTATAAGATCTTTTGTCACCATGGACAGTTTTCTGTTTACTAACTTCAGTCATTGTGTTCTAACATTCTCCAAGGACCAACAACTGATGCTTTGGTCGTGTGAAGGTGACGAGTTTGCCAATGATAATGCGATAGCTTGTATTATTTTTATTTGAGCATGTGTACATTTTGAGTTTATTGCCTGCTTGCCAAATGTTCCTGGAGAAATGGACGCGAGAAAAAGATGCATTCCACCTTTTCTAGACTCTGGATTAATAAGCAGCAACATGTGACAATTGTCTTTCATTTTCATTGAATGTATTTTTATAGAAAGACAAAGTTTTGGTCAGCGTCATGCTCAGTCATCTCATGTTGCTTGTCCGACTGATCGTGTCCGTTTCTGTTGTATGTGATGGGATTGTATGTTTATTTTGTGTTCCACATATTTTTATTCTTGTTAATAATCTTGAGTCTACATTTCGGTGTCAGTATGTTGGTATGGATTGTTTGTGAACCTCAGTGATATGTGGTTTATCGGGGTTGTCTAGACTACCAACACACACACACTCTACACTATCCACAATACACCATGCTTCAAATACTGATATATATTTCACTTTTATATTAGTCAGTCTCCTATATGATCTGTCATCTTTGGAAAGTCGTTAGATTCTGAACTTTCAAATTTTGAAATGGTGTACTGTTCTGTAAATAAGACATGCTACTGATGTAGTTGTGACCATTAAGCCATAAAATATTTTAAATCGTTTCGTTTGAAAACTATTCCCTATAAAATATATTTTTCACAAATTCAGAAGTACACTGATCCAGGTGATGAATATTTGAATATTTAAAACAAAGACTTGAATTTTGGCCTCGCAGGTCTTTCCTTAATCTTCACTTATGCAAGTAGTATGGTGGTACCAAGCAATAAATAGTTACTGAATGCAAGACTGCGTTGGTTTCGCACATGGCATCAGTTAAGTCGACTGTCTGCGCCATGACTGGTTCCAGATCGGGTATGATGTCCCTCTTAGCTGCAGTGTGTTGATTCTTCCATTGTTTACAGATGTGGATGATTCATGTGAATCGTTTGTCCCAACAACAACCTAGGTGTGGGTAGTTAGTGCGGTCATCTGGGCGGGAAGGGCGCATTTCTCCATGAACCAGTCATCCCTTTGTTATATGAAGAGATCGTCTTGGTGACGTTTCAAACATTTTATAAATGTTTATACCCACTTCTTTCAAGGATTTGATATTTTTATGGTATTATGTTGCACGGAACCAACATGAAAATCTGGTACCTACTAAGAATAGTGCGCAATCTTTATCAAATTCTTTTCATGTTGCAGCGAAAGTATTTGTCATATATCGGCAACACTTTGTTCGTCTTTATTTTTGTACTGTGTCCATACATGGTGTTGCACTAGCACTGCTGCAGTAGAAGAGGACATCCCAAGGTAATTTATCAACAAACTTCATGTACAATAATTTCCAAAAAATTACGAAACAACTGAGGACATTTCCATCAGCAACGCAAATCTTGTGACACGTGTAGTCTGAAGTATGGTCCCATCAGCTACTGTCCTCCAGTCCAGTGCAAGTAGCATCGGTACAATGACTGATCATTCCAACACATAGAAGGTGATTGGCTGATCTCTCTACAGGTGCGTGTCTGGTCCGAGTTCCAACTCCCTCGCCTGTTTTTGTTGCACGCACTCCTCAAAAAGGAGCTCAAATGTCAAATGATGTAATGGTATTTTTTAGATTTAACCTATGCAAAATGTTTGTACCTACCTTTTGGATGTGTTTCTTTAACATCTAATTACCATTGTCGAGATTGAATAAAATTTCATCCAATTTCTCACTGTATTGTTATATGTGATTACAGCCTTGCTGACCGCCTCCTGGTGTAGTGGTTAGAGCGTCCGCCCGGAGAGGGAAGGTCGCGGGTTCGATCCCCGACCACGTCATACCAAAAGACGTTAAAATATGGTACTTGTTGGTCCCTGCCTGGCGATCGGCATTAATGGGTACAACAAGGACTGGTCGGCTCGGAGTCAGTATAATGTGTCTGAGTGGGGTATTCATGCTTCACTGCTGCATGGTATCTCAGTGGGCTAGCACTATAAAACCAGCTTCAGTCTGGGCTAGTACAAGCAGCCGCACATACACACACACACGCATGCACGTCGTCATGTGAGCGAAATATTCTCAAGCACGACGTTAAATCCAATTTCACCTCACCTCACATCCTTGCTGATGTTAATCATCAATGCACACTTTGGAAGGCTAGAAGTGCTTAACAAGGTCCATGGGGCGGTGGGGTAGCCAAATGGTTAAACCAGTCACGCCAAAGACCTGGGTTCGATTACCCACATGGGTATAATGTGTGAAGCCCACTTCTGGTGTACCCAGCCGTGATATAGCTTGAATATTGCTAAACGTGGCGTAAAACAACTCATTCACAAGGTCCTGGTTCCAGTCACTATGTGGGTTCAATGTGTGTTTCCCCGCCGTGATATGGCTGGAATATTTCTAAAGGCAGCGTAAAACCCAACTCACTCACTTTGGAAGGCTAGATTATCTCAGAACTGATTGATGGATGACCCGTCCCTTGCGGCAGCAATTCGTCTTGCAGAGTTGCATCTCTTGATCATCATGGGTTTGTTCCGATGTTAATGTTAATCGTTTGTAAGCACGATACCATTGCTCAAATGTCTAACCAAATAAAAGTTCTAAGACCTGCATCTCCTACTTCACACATTAAAGTGGGCGGTGGGGTAGACTAATGGTTAAAGCGTTGGCTCGTCACGCCGAAGACCCGGGTTCGATTCCCCACATGGGTACGAGTACAATGTGTGAAGCCCACTTCTGGTGTCCATCGCCGTGATATTGCTGGAATATTGCTAAAAGCGGCGTAAAACCATACTCACTCACTCCCACATTAAACTGTGATGTAACTGGAATTGTGTTCTCTGCAGCGTTGGATTAAGTCATTCATCAAATATATCAAAACGATCTTGACAGAAGTTCGATTTATGATGATTAATATTATTGAGCAGAGTTGTCATTAATTATCACAGGGATTTGACTTGCAGATGATCATTGTTTCTGCTCAGTGTAGGGTAGATTACTTACGTACACCATTGAATCATGAGATTATATCGCCTAGGAAAACGTTAAATGCTAATTCAATGACTTATATATATATATATTAGTCCATACAGCAGCGAGGTAGAGTGTCAGCGAGAGTAACTTATTCTTATGTAAAAGGGGGCGGTGGGGTAGCCTAATGGTTAAACCGTTGGCTCGTCACGCCGAAGACCCGGGTTCGAATCC